TTTTTTTTTTGAAGATTACAAGAAAGTCATCCTTGTACTGGAGATTGTAATATCTGGCTTGATGTCTGAATTACAGTTGCCATCCCAACATCCTGAGGTGGCAGCCAGAGGTCCATGTCACATGGTGGGGCTGGAAAACAAACCTAGGTCTTTGATGACATTGTTGAGCCACTAAATACACAATCCTAGAGCCACTTTTTCTGGAACTCCTGAATGAAGTAAGTTGTCTTCACCATTTAAACCAGTAGCATCAGTTTTCTGTCACTTGGAGCCAGAATACCCTAAAACAATGGCACAGCTTTTGTGCTTCTTACTGACGCTACCCCAGTACCTTCAACAGCTGCCAGGCTGGCTTCTCCATTTCTCACTCTCATTTCTCAACCCACTCCAACCGGCTTCTGTTCCAAGCTTCCCTCTGACACTTACCCACGGTGACTAAATGATGTCATGTTCCTGAACCCAAATTCCGTTCAGCCTCTCAGCAGCAACAGGCCCTGCTGGCCACGCCTACTTACTTCCATGGAACCAGTTGTTTCCCCTACCTCCCTGTCCCTCTCAGTAGCCGCCCGTGCAGGCTCATCCTATCCTGGTTGGCCACCTATTGTACCTTATGGCTCGGTCCTAGCTCCTCTTCTAATCTCAGCTCATGCTCTCCAGACCAGTGGGTCTCCACCTTGGCTGTGCACCAGCACTCTCTGAGGGGCTTCTAAAAGCCCAATTAATTAAATCAGAATCTTGGGCCGGGCGGGGGGAAATTTCCTCAACACTCTGATTCTGAAGTGCAGTCAAGGCTGAGAACCACTTCCTCCAGCAACCTCACCTGCAGCTACTCCTCCATCTGGGTTAACTATCCCAACCATTTGTCTCTGCCTACACCTCTCCTTTGAGTCCAGACCCACGTAACTCACTGCTACACAACATTCCAATCTGGACCCTTCAGGGCACTTTAACTCAGCCTGACCAACAATGAAGTCAAGTTCTACTCCCCACAAATTCCTCTTCCCCTGATCCCAGCGTCCAGGAGTGGGGCCCAGAACCCAGGAAACAGCCAAAGGCAGAAACCTCAGAATAGTTCCAAATGCCACCTTCAGCATAAGCAACCTGTTGATTTTACCTCTTAACTAGTTCAAGTCCTTCCCCTTCTCTATTTTCACCGCCATTACTCTGTCCTAGGCCACCATCAGCTCTGGCCTGGAGGACTGCAAGTCTTCTAACCCACATTCATGCGGCTTCCCCTCCAAATCCTCTCCACACTGCAGCTAGACTGACCTTTGTAAGATCATGCTAGCTCCCGGTTAAAATCCTTTCCTCTTCTAGATGCTCTTAAGGCCGACAGCTTTCAAGTAGCCTACAAGACTCTCCTCGTTCTAGCCTCTGACCATCTCTCCCACCTTCTCTGTTCAGGCCCTCTGGCACGCTAATTCCATGAATGCAACATGGTCCTTCCCGCGCTGACCCACTGTCCAGAATCCAGGGACTATGTCTGGTCTTGCTCATTCTAACCTATCTATCAACGGAACCCCAGTACTACCCGTTGAATCAATGCTGAACGTTTATTACAAATGGTATTTATTATAACGTACAACACTATCTAGAACCAGAATATTACATCACATGCTCTAATCACATATAAATATCACAGTACCTACTAATATATAAATGTATACTGATGTATCTTCACATTCATTAGCATATGACCACATTCTAAGACTAAAGCAAAGTGGACACACTCAATGACAGTGCCAATGCCACTGCGGCCCAGGACCTGCAGTGCAGGTGTGGTGTCAGCAGCAGCAGTACATTGAATAATACATCTGTGAAAACTCACAGGATGCGAGTGGTCATGAACTCGTGAAGACGGTTCAGAGGACTGAACAGAGGGTAGAACTGGAGTTCCGGCCTGGCTGCTCCAACTTATTAGATGT